AAAAAAAAAAAAGGAAAGAAAAAGAGAATGAAGATTATCCGAACATTCTTATCTGACCATAATTGGTTACAGCGTTCTTTTTTTTTCATTTTCTTTGTCCCTCTGTATGTGTCGTGAAAAAATCTTTGGAATATCTGATTAAAGTGCCTTAGAAACATTGGAACGTTTGGTGGAAAAATACTCGTTCGTGAACAGAAGACTGGTTTGGGGTAGTGTAGGGGACGGGAGGGGGTGGATGTGGGTGGAAGTAATTAATGGCTCTGTTACATTTTTTCCCACAAACTACTAACCTTCCTGAAATATAACTCTGTGACTGAAAAGCTTTTCTCTCTCACTGCTACACTATTTGCATACTGCGAATGTTTGATGAAAAATTAAAGTCGAAATGGTTTAAAACGGTTGATGGAAAGTTCGTGGTTGAGAAGCAGTTAGAAGGACAAAAGTCTGATTAGCTCACTGTGCGGTTGTTGGTATTTGGTGTATCAATTTGGGATAATCACACCCGATGTTTATCGATCTGATCAACATTTTGATGATTAAAACTGCTGGTGGATGTTAGCCTTAGAACTTTGAGAGGAATAACGCAAAATAATTGTTTAGCGAAGAAAAAGTTGCAAAAAAGATCAGTAAATGTTGGAATTGTCATTCAATAACTAAAAAACTGTTTTAATTCTTTTTTTTTGTTATTAATAATTAAATAAAGATATAATATAAAACTGAATGACGACAGCTTTCCTGTTTAACGGTATTCACAATATCAGACTTTGAATATGGGTTTGGAACACTTGAAAAGTACATGTGTAGTATGTGTAGGGTGTATAATAAACTACCTAGAATGTTTTTGGTTTAATTATTTTGTTATTATGAGATGCTGTGTGATGATGCACGAATTAGAAGAATATACATTTCAAAGTGTATTATTTATGTGAAAAAAATCTTGCATCTTGTCTTGCAGTTTTCAGCAGACCTGAACAGGGCACTAATAGAAAACAAACTATCTGTTCGGATGTTACATTTTTAAATCAGTCAACTATGATTAAACCTTATTCAAAAGATATCTTGAAAACATTTTGAGTGTGATGTGAAGAAGGCAGTAATCTACATCGCTCTCATTTCCTGATTTAATTTTTTTTTTAATTTTGCTATTTAGCAGTATGCAGTTTTCAACAACAAATTTGCAAATGTTTACCTGTTTGAAATGAGAAATTTACAAAAAGTTTTCAGGTCAGTGCGTATAATGTTAATAGAGTTCGTGGGAAGTTGAATGATTCTGATGATGACGACAACTACGAGAAACAACAGTCACACGAAACTCCGCCAACTCCGTCTTTGCCCTGGTGGTTCACCGATGAATGTGAGAAAAGGCTTTCGTTGACCGTCGATGTTCCATACTCGTCATGCAGCTATGCTCCAACGCTGCAGGTGACTCCTCCATGCAACCCTCAACCTGTACCTTCAGTTTTTTATCTGGACCCGGATCAGGTCAAGGAACAGCTGCGGAAACAGCTTGAGTACTATTTTTCCAGGTTAGTCTTCGATGTTCTCTAGGAGGTTGAAGAAAAAAAAAGCAAATTGTTGGTAGTTCATTTTGAAAATAAGTTGAGTCTTTTGTCAAAATAAAGCGATTTTTGTTTGTTTTTGTTCGCTATCAGCAAACTTATAGTTTCCAATAATTTCTTTTCCAATAATTCTTTTTCACAATATAATTGGCAAATAAATTTTAGAGAAAATCTGATGACTGACCGTTTTTTACGCAGTCAAATGGATAACGATTCGTATGTACCGATTCAAATAATTGCCGATTTTCCTCGTGTGAAACAATTAACGAATAATTACGATCTAATAGTCCAAGTGTTAAGAGGTTGATACGGTTTATTTAAATTTAACTACAATACTTTTGAGTACGCAACGAAAAAAAAAAGAGAAGAACGGGAAAGGAATTTAGTAAAAGAATTGAACTGCTAAAGTTTTTTTTTTTTTTTTGAAGGACTATGATTGACAGTCAGCATTTATAATAACTACTATCAAATCAAAATTTGTGAGGTTACACGCTGTACTGATAAAGAGACATTAATTTAGTTTGTAAAAATATCTGACTTGTTAATTTTAAAACATTTCTTTTTTACATTTTGTTCTATATGGAACTGCACTGTTTGTTATAATACTCAGGAAATTTTTTTTTTTTCGCTTTAGAATCTCCACGAGTTCAAGTAGATGAGAAGGGTGAACGAGTTCGCGCTGTATCTAAACGTTGTACAATCATTCTTCGGGACATTCCACCGAGCACAGATGAAAAAGTTCGTTTCCGGTTACTGCAATTACAGTATGCGGTTTCCACACGTCAGCGTTTCCCATCGACTTCATTGCTCTCATTACTGATTCTAATTTAGGAGGTAGCAGCTCTTTTCTCAGGCGCTCCACCATATCTTCGCCTTCATTATGGTCTAAACAATAGTTGGTATGTAATATTCGAATCTGAAGAAGCAACTCAGCATGCCTATCTTCATTTGCAAAACATGAAAACTTTCAACAATAGACCTATTTGCGTAAGTAAATTTGGAAGATAGATTTTTTTCCTTTTTTTCCTTAGTTAATGCGATGGATAGGACTTCGTTTGTGACGAAAGGAATCACTATAAAACATCTAAAAATAGGCTTATCGAAATTGAATTTTTTTTTGGTTGCGTGTTTCAAATTTAATTAGCAAATTTATTATTGCTGAAAGTGCAACATAATTAAATAGCTAAAGCCGTAATAGTTCTTCTCGTCTTATTGTTTGAAAAATGCGAAAGGAAAAAACAAATCAGCGAATAAAGAAAAACCAAAATTGTTCATTTTTGTCATCATTTATCTGCATAAAATGACTATACAAATATATATATATATATATATATATATATATATA